AAGCTCCTGCTGCATGGCTCGTAGTAGAGCAGTAGGCTCATGATCTGGAGTTGACTGATGTGTTGATTGTTGGAGTACGTTGGGTATAGAAGCTTCATGTTAGCAAGTTTGACCCATGATGATGAAACAATGGCAAGTCAGGATTATACATTAACATGGCTTTATGTTACAATGGATACATCCAAGCTATATTTCTACATCAAAAAGTTTTCCTCCAAATCCAGGTGGTTTAAAATTGATATGAAATGGAAAGCCAGGCCAGAAAAAAAAAAAAAAAACCCTCCAGATTTGCATTCAATTCATGATAGGAATGCTGATTTCATACATTTGGTTTAACTTTGTGTTGATTTATTTTTAATGGTTTTTGGTATCTCCAGAGAAAACAATGCTTTTCTGGGATTTTTGCTTGTGCAGTGTCATTTCTCAGCTTGGAATTTGACTAAGAGGTTCTAGTATCTGAAACTGAAAGGCAAGAAAACAAAGAGACAAAGATTTACTACAATTTCTAGCTTTTAGTGAAGGAGGAGTATTTCTGGCTGGAAGAGTGAGTGACTTGTCCCCCAGTGAAGCAGACAGGGCCCACAGCTCTCCTCAGAGCAGGTGGTGCTGTAAGATCACACATCTTCAATTCTGCTTTTCTGGAGCACTGAAGTTAACCTGCTGCCCCTTCCTACCCCCTCGAATCTTTTCCATTGTTACATTATAACCTTTCCGTATCTCCTTTACAGTTCAGTGCACAAAGTTTCCCCCATCCCTTTTTTTTTTTTTTTTTTTTTTTATTTCTGACAGGAACTTTAGGTTCATTCTTGGCTTAGCTCTGATCTTCTGCCCTTTGTTGAGAGGCCATTCCCACAGTAAGTCAAGAAAGCAAGAAGTAAGTAATATCCCTGAGATTCTGTTTTAATGTAAAGCATATTTTTCTTCCTTTTTGCACGCAGCAATATGCATCCAGTCTGAGTTCAGCTTGAGAAGTATGTTTCTTATCTTTGGGACACAGCCATTACTACAAGTAATGAAGTTAAAGCACATCATTCCATCAAGAGCTATGGACTATGAGTTTTCGTAAGCTTTACTTTGTTTCAGAAAGATATGAAGAAAATAATTAGAGGTAGACAGGAACCATGCATGCAGCTAGATGGAAAATTACAGGTTTTTTTTAATACCTTATCAAATGTCCTGTATATAACATATTGTGTAGTCACTGGTAAGTGGAAAGCATACAGTAATAAAACCTACCTGCAGTGGGTAGTGTCATCCCAGTTCTGTCCTCACTATATTTAAGTGAAAAAAAAGCATCCCTTATTCAACCAAATGAGTGCTTTGTCTCAAGCACATTGTTGTTAGATCGTCAGAGACACATATCAGAAATCTGTTAGGAAAGTGCTCCCCAACCTACAAAAACTTTTCTAGGAAGGAAGGAGCTTGAGAGAGGCAGAGTCCACATGGATAGATCTTAAAGCACTGAGGATTTTAAAGATTATTGCCAGCAATCTGCCATATACAGAAGGTGAAACAGCAAGTGCAGTTAGCATTACTGATGGAGAGATGCTACAAGCCTTTTGAGTGCTTGGCCTTGAGTATTTTCAGTCTGGACAACAGCTCTATGGATCCGTGCTACTAACTTTCTCTTACCTTCAGGAGACAACCAAACTCTAAACTCCAAAGCATCCTGTTAAGGAGCAATCCCTGTGAAATCCCCAAGGGCCTAGTAACCATGTCGCTAGCAGGGAGGTTAAAGTTAAATGGAAGTCCTCTCTTCTTTTTTGTTTCTTTTATTATTCTTCCCTGAAGCTTACGAATAAACAGAAGCAATTACAGAGCTTCAAAGCTGCCTCTGAAAGTGCTGACTCAGTAGAATTTGTGTTTCAGTCGCTTATAATCACCTCCGCACAGCTCACTGCCCCTCTGCAGTGAGCACTGACTACACATACAGCACGCACCTGATCACTCTTTCTAGTATCTCATGCAAGGGGCTGTGTTTTAAGCAGGCAGACAATGCTCAAGGGAAGAAGAGTTCCATTTTACAGAAGGAGAACTGTGATTCAGACTGAAGAATTTGTAAGCAACAAATTTGAATACTTAGGTATTTGCATGCTTGTTCAGAACATCTGTGACTTCAGGTTTACAAGGCTTTTCAGGACTTTGTATATCACACAGCATCCTTTTCCCACACTTCTCTTTAATTCGTCGCCTCCCTCAAGAAAGCATTTCAAGACAGACCTTTGATCAAGCAGGGGATGCTTTGTGCTCATAGGTTGTGATGTACGTGCCCCACTACAGACTGAGGCTGCCAAACAGGATGGATTGTCTAATGGTGTACTGAGAAGGCATATTCTGTGGTTGCTCGTGCAGACAATATACATATGATGTTCTGTGAAATTCTCACCACATAACTTATTGCCCCTCCTCAGCAGACTTTCTATCTGCCTACAAGGCTGTTTTTTGTTGCTTTTTTTTTTTCTTTTTTTTTTTTTCCTTTATTATCTCTGAGCATTTCTTACAGGATGGAGTAAGAGGGTGAGACCTTAGAATTTATCAGTGATCTGAAATACAGAGATGAGAAGTGAGTTTAGATTCCTTTCTTACTAATGGCTCTTGAGAACAGCAACTAACATCAATTACCAGGACATCAGCATTAGCCTAATTTGGGATAACAGATTTCCCTTTGTTATTCACATTCCTTTCACTTGAGAACTGCCTGTCAGGAAGTCTTACTGCATCCCTGGTGCAAACAGAATAGAAGAAGCGCCCTCTCCTGTGCAAAGCTTAATTGTGCAGGGAATGAGAAGGAACTCAGCGGTGTGTTAAGAGAATAAAAGACAGAGAGGCAGGCATGTATGATACCCTCATCTCTAGACACAACTTGCAGAAGCTCTGCTGGGAGATGCTGCTGCCCATACACTTCCTCTGCACACCAAAGAGGTTCCAAATGTGACTGCATTTCTCTGATACAATCCCCCTACCCTTATTTGTTCCATGAAAATAAGATAGGCAACTTTGCCTTATATTTCTCTAGAGGACATTTCCTAGAAGACCTATCCCACAGCATGACCTGCAGTAAGGCAATCGATCTTGATGTGAAAATATAAGATTGTGAACAGCCTTGAAACCTTGGTTCTAAGTTTCGTCACTCACTACTGAACAGAACTTCGATACTGGGTTGTAAGTGATAGCAGGGACTGAATGAGAGCAGCTGCAGGTCCACCAGCTGCAGACGAAACTTTGTCATGCTTAGAGTCTGACTTTATTCATATCTGTGTTTGCTTGTTTTACAGAGGAAGAAATTGTACTTGTGAAGCAAAATTTAATACTGAGATCACTTAATTTCTTAGAGAGTAATGGAGAATTCTAAGTGAGTTATTGCCAGCAAAGATGTAATGCAGCATTTGTAGAATTGATGAATAAACAAAAAGATATATTATCTGCAAAAACTAGTTTGTTCACCTCTAGTTGATATCCAGAAATTATTCACTTCATGCTTCACATCCATGCTTAAAACAAGCAGCAATCCACTTATATCCCATGTACACTAGGAATGTCTGAGAGACGCAGAAATAAAATCATCTTTTATTATCTTGGATGACAGCAATAGGTGAGGGAAAGGCATGGAGCTGTGTCAGGGAGGGTCAGCTGGGCGTTAGGGAAAGGCTGTGCCCCAGAGGGCAGTGGGCATGGAACAGGCTGCCCAGGGCAGGGGCACAACCCTGAGTGCTGGAGCTCAGGGAGCTCTGGGACACCTAACCCTAATCCATGCAATCAGTTGACCTTTCAGATCTGTTCTGACCTAAGTAATGTTCTTTGGTAGGTCTCCAGCTAGTATCTCAGCGTTGAGATCCTTCCTTTCCTTTATGATATACCGTGTAACAAAACAGTGAGCTCATATGCTTCAATTTATGGCGTGGGAGCACTCAGTGTATCTGATGGGCTGCTCTGACAATATGGGAATAGCATTTCTTGGTGTCTTCACCTGGCCCCTGTAATCCCTTCAGTATACTGTCACAGGATAAGTTAGATTGGAAAGGATCTCTGAGGATTGTGTAGGTCATCTTCAAAGTTAGATCAAGTTGCAGAAGGGTTTATTTCAGAGTGTATCAGAACAACGATTCTCCAAGGACTTATATTAAGGGAAGATTCACAATGATACAGTAACTTGGAAAGGCAAGTGAATTAGACAAGGCAAAAGGATTGCTGATGTTGTGTCAGATCCTGCTAATCCCTGTCCCCTGCATCGATGGCACCGGATTCCAATACTGTTTGATTTAAATACACTTACTTTTTCTCACATGAAAAGTATCAAAGAGATTTCTAAAGTCATCAGGTTGAATGTCCCATTTGCGACCATTTCAATCAGCTCACAAGTCTGAAGTCTGTCTCGTTGGTTTCTTCCAAATTCACTGCCATTGTTCACCGAAGTTTTACATGTAGGCTATGAAAATCCTGAGGCTGAGGCAGTTTGCATACGTGTCTTCAGAGATTAATCAGCCACCCCCTGACTGACTGGGGCTGTTCTGAGCAACGCCTGCTGCTGATTTTCTTAGCAATGGGAAGTTTGATTTTCAGCAAAGTTACAGATATTCGGCATTCTCCTTTTTACCTCAGAGTGTTTGAGCTCACGTGAAAATAGAAAATTACAATTTGTGAATTAACATCACAACACAACTTCACATTTTTCCAAGAAACAATCTTCTACTACATTCAGAATTGTGCGAACTCCCTTTGGGAGAAAAGACAAACTTTTCATAGGAAGATGTCAGAGGACTCATTAAATAATACAAAAATTAAATATGTCATAAATACAATGGCTTGAGGAAATGCCATTTTGGGCACAACACTTCTTCCCCAAAGCGTGTAAGAATGAAGCATAACATGCAGAAATATCTAGCACAATTTTAAAATATTAACAAATACTTAAAGTAGCCTTGACTAACGCTAGTTCAATTCAGAAATGTGGATATTAATGCCAATTTTAAACTATTACTGAAATACAACATTGCAGATAAAGCAGAATGGCACTATGGAACACTTTAGAAACTTGTACTGAAATAAACATGCAATTGGTTCAGTACTTTTGTGATGTTTTATTTTGTTCGCATAAAAATACGAGAGGGTTTTTAGATAAGTCTTGCCAGGTGGTATGGTTAGATGCTTCTTATTTGGTGATTTCTAGTTTGAAGGTACAGGATACTGCCATCAGTAGGTTATACACAACAAAAATGGAGGCAGAAACAATGAAATCTGCCCAGCACAGTCTCACTGTGCACCACCAGTGTGTCTCATCCACGAGGAGAAGGGACTGTGTTCTCCATGCTGCCATCCATTCATCCTTGGCAGGAAGGCTTCCTTGGCAAAAAGGCCAAGGATCTCTTGTAAAGATCCTGCACACCAAAATCCAGATTGATACAGAGAGAGAAGCATTATCGTAGTCAGAAATGAAACACAAGTTCAACAAATATTTGGAGATGGCATAAAAACAGTCCCTGATTCCACCTGAAAATGTCTGCAATTTCTAAACATTTCAGCGCATTCCAGAGTTAACACCAACAAAACAAGGAAAATCTACCAACTGTAAAATATCAAGCAGTAGAAGGGTACATTTTTAAGCATTTCAAGACTGTTTGGTGCCGTTTCCTGACAAATACTGTAGAAGTACTGTTTGTACACGTTACCAGGACACTGCTTTGCCCTTTATTCAGTACATGCAAGGTAGATTAAACTGCACACTGAAGCATTAGGAACATTTTCAAGGCTCATGAAAGACTTCCTCATTTTTTATATTTTCCACTGGTTAACCACAAACTTTAACAACAGGATACATGCATGAGAATCTGAACGTGTACCTCCTGAAGAGCTAGTGATTTCAACCAGAAGAATGGGCCTCACGTTGTTCTCCCAGGTTGGGTGTTTCTTTTTGTTCAGCTCAGAAGAAGAAACTGATTCTCACTTTGTAAGAGTCCAAAAATAAGCTTTTAAGACTTCAGTTCGAGTGAAAGTCGATTTCAAAGTTTATTCCACATGTTCTTCACCAAGCAAGGTTTTCACTAATGGTACTGATGGGCAAACCTCATACAAGGAGAGAAACAGAAATAAGAAGTAACATTCCTGTAATGTTTTCAAGGAGCTGCTGGCCCACGTACAGCAAAAAAAAACAAACCCACAACCCTTCCTTTGGACATCAGCATGTAAATATTTGTGTGCTGCGCTGAGCAGTCTGCAACTCACATTGAGAACTTCTTTGCTGTCAGCAGCCAGCTGCAGCTGCAAACTGCTAGCTACCACCTTCTGGGTCTTTGCTATTATGACTGCATATGGTCTCCAGCACCTGTGATGAACTTGCTATCGCTTTGTTTTCTTCCCCTAATACTTCTTCTTGTGATTCTTTCTGCATTTTCAATTTGCTACTGTCAGTCTTATGATTAATGGATGAGTTGAGCCTGGATGAGTTTGATTTCCACCTTCTCAGGCTTCTGTAGAAATCTTTCCTGACATTTTCACTAGTCAGCACATAGATGATTGGGTCAGCAATGCCATTTGCAGTTGATAAACACAGAAACACTGTAAAAACTGAATATATACTTTTTTCAAATGGACACGAGCAATCCTGATGAAACATAAAGTATATGGCTCTTATTAGGAGTACCACATGGTAGGGAGCAAAGCACATCAGGAAAATGACAATTATGGCAATTGCCAGGTACTTCACTTTGGCTTTCTGGTGACAAGTCACGCTGTCACTTATTTTTGTTCTTTGGAAGATTTTGTAGTTGGTGAAAATGAGAATTGTGAAAGGTATGACAAATCCAAATAGGAATCTGGCAAAGCTGAAAGAAGCCAGTGTTTTGTCAAGGGGTAAGGTCTCGAAGCAGTTATTGTTATGTATACTATTCATGTTAAATATTGGACTGTGGATTACTGCAACCACAGCAACAAGAAAACATACTATTATGATTGCCTTTTTGCGTCCTCTTCTGCCTCTTGATTCCAGAGCATACACCAGTGCCACATAACGATCCAGAGAAATACAGCATAAAAGCAGAATGCTGATGTATATGTTGCAGAAAAATATGAATCCTGTTAATTTGCAAACCTGTTCACCCATAGTCCACCGGTGATCGTGTTGCACGTAGATAATCCAGAGAGGCAAGGTACTTAAATACATCAGATCACACAATGACAAGCTGAAAATGTAGATGGCAATTGCATTATTCCTTCGGATTTGTACAAGTGCGAGCAGGGAAGTTAAGCAATTTGCTGGAAGACCAATGGCAAAAACAATGCTGTAAACAGCAATTAGAAGTGTCTTGCTGTCTCCGTAGGGAATGCTTGGACAAATAGTGGAGTTATCCTTTCCAATTGTGGTACAGGCTGCATGATCCCCCATGATTACGTTTTTTCCCCAGCTGGTGTTTTCTGTGAATCAGAAGACAAGATGGAAAGTTAGTATTTCCATCAGTTCAAAGTGTGTCAGTAAAGGCTGCAGTCCCACAGATGCAAGGACATGGCGGGGTGCTTGTCTTAATCCACTAAGACAGGAGTTTTCCAAGACCTGCTGGTGTCCTCCCCAGGGAGCCAGGTTGCAGTTAGTTCCAGGAAAAAGGATCTTTATTCACAAGGAATTTATGGACTATACCATGCCTATCCACTAAGATGGGGACTGACCCTAACCCAGGACGCCTAAGAAATAGGACAGAACTGCTGATCAGTTACTAAAATCACTTTGCAGAGGAAATTAAGGGCATTAATCTTACTTTTTTTTTTTTTTTTTTCTTCCCAAACTCAACAGTAAAAAATGCAAAGTATAGAGATTTCAGAGATGGGTTTGTAGAAGAACTTAATATTTCTGATCAGGTGGGGGAACATCCGAACTGGGTGGAGGTATTTTTGTGTCAAAAACTGCCTGGCATACAAGAAGCAGAGTCTGGCTGCTGGTGTGTACTCACATATAATTCACACCTCTCTCCTTCTGATGAATAGCTGCAGATGAAGAACACAAACTAGTAGTGCTATACAACATTTACCATCGTAATTTGACAGAACTGCCTACCACACCTATTTGATAGTTCTCGGAAAAAAAAGACAGGAAATAAGGGTAGTTAAAGGAAGTAAACAAGGGAAGAACGTTTACACTTTTAAGAAATGGAGGTGAAGAAAATTAATGTTCCTTTAGCAGGAGTGGCCAATAAGAACACCACTTTTCCAAGGCAACCATGCATGAGAGAAGACCTCGCAGCTGGTTAATGTAGAGCTAGGAGAAACATTTCTTGCAAAGTCACATGATGATTTCCACACTAAAATGTCCAATTGATTGAAGAGAGAAACATGGAATATGCCCCAATGGAATTGAGTTGTCTTAAAAATTGTACTTCGTTGTATTTATGAGTTGAAAGTTTCCATTGCATAACATACTTCATAAAAGCAGATCTTGTCTGGGCTAATCCTTTGGACATTCACTAATGGGGTGGACACCTACTCCAATCAGGTAACTGCCAAGAGCAGATGTGTTGATAGAAGTTGAGTCCCATCACCCTGAGGATGGGCATGTGCCTTCCTGATCCACTCTGCATGAGAAATTTTTCAACCTGTGTTCATACACGGAAGAAGGTACCTTTTGTCAGCCTATCAACAGTTATTTGTTGTTTGCTTGGTCCAATTTCAAGCAGACCTAGGGGAAGCAGTCTGCTCCCAGTTCAGTGAGGACCTAGATTGTCTCATGCATCTCTGGCAGGGTAGACAAGCTGGTGGGATCTTTCTTTCCCCTCCCTGGGATGCCATAAGAAGCTCTACTCTGAATGCCTAACAGAATGCCTACCATTCAAGTCTGAGGGGCATTCAGGTTCCCTGACTTAGTTTAGTTACTGTAGGATGAGTAGAGTATGAGAAAACCAATGCAGGCTGCAATAGGCTGTGCAGTACTCACAGCTGTGAGATGTTAGCCATAGCCATCAGCACCAGGAGAGATTCTCCTGGTCCATGACAAGAGGTGCTCATTTGCTACAAGTACCCAAACACAGTCAGAGCCCACTCAATGACAGCAGCTTCTGACTGAAGACTCATTCCCAATCCTGGCAAGAAGGCAGATAGGGCAGAGGCAACGGTACCTTCCATTCCCAGTACTGGTGGCAGAGAAAAATGTTTCCCAGGGTGACACTTGAAATAGAGACTCTGTAGAAAGCTGAGAAAGCGCTGCTGTTGTGGAAGAAGTTTATTAGAGTGTGTGGCCATGCTCTGTGACTACCTTCCACTTCCTCTTATGGCAAACCACGCTCTGCTTGCTTGCTGACATGTTGATGAAGTTAGCAAGTGGTTGCCTCACTAAGCTGGGCCAAAGTATCCTGTTGCTGCCAAGTGATGGAGGGCCACATCTCTCCTTGTCTGAGAGATGGGTCATCCGGTACCCAATGGGTATGCTCAGGTCCTCTCAAGGAGGATTTGAAGTTGCCCTTAGCTTCAAATGATCCAGCTTAAGGATGACTGAAGAAGAGGATCCTCACTGCTGTGTGTGGGAAAGATGGCACAGTACTCAGCAGGGCTGTTGCAAAGTTTTTAAATTTATTTCCCTTTTTTGCTAGCAGTGAAAGTGTTCTCATAGCTAGTATCATAGCTAGTATCAATATAGAAAATTAGTAGTTGTAAGAGATGGTAGTGACATTAGGTTTTTCTGCCTCTATCACCCTTGGTCAATGAGGCCACAAACCTTACCCAGGCCACAAACCAAACAATTGCATAGAGGGATAAAAACATGTTTTGTCTTCTGGGTCAGCAGAGATTTCTGTGCCAGATCTCACCTGGCATGTGACGTACGAGAGCTTGTCCTCTGCTTGTGTCCAACCAGTATGAGAACTCCAGGAACCCATGTAACACAAAGGCTCCTTAGAGACCTTCACTTCCAAAGTGAAGCACAGCAGATGAATGAAACTGATTCGTAATGGAAATAGCAACAGTCAAGTTGGGAATGTGGCACTGCTGCATGCTGTCTCAGCTACAGACCAACAGTCCAACCTAAGAGTGTTGCACACAAAACCTTTCAGAGAGGTTGAAGGTGTGTTCTCCTCCTCTCCCTCAGGCTTCACGTGTCTCTTGGCCCACTGCTTGTGTTCATGCACTCTCCTTCTCGCACTTCCTACACCTGTTCACTGCTGGTTGTGCAAAGGCCTGCTTCCCCCAGAGGTAACTTGCAGCGGCAATGGTGCAGAGCAGAAAGTGGCAGGCTTACTCCATAGACACATGGTTCCCAAAGGGGACTTATTCTGTAGACACAACTCCTATTATTTCTTTCTCTTGCCTCCTTCCTTAGCCTCCTCTCTCCCTACTCTGCTCCTCCCATTCTTCAGGTCCAGCATTCCAGGGTTCTTAGGTCTCTGGCCTCTTCCTGCATCCCTCATATGTATATACACACATATATATGTATGTATGCCAGAAGAGGTCCAAGTTGGATATTAGGAAAAATTTCTTCTCAGAAAGAGTGGTTGGGCACTGGCACTGGCTGCCCAGGGAGGTGGTGGAGTCACCATCCCTGGAGGTGTTCAAGAACCATGGAGATCACAGAATCATAAAATGGCTTGGAAGGGACCCAGAGGATCATTAAGTTCCAAAGCCCCTGCTACAGGCAGGGCCACCAACCTTCATATCTGGTACTAGCCCAGGTGATACTGAGGGACATGGTTTAGTGGGCAGTACTTATGACTGGTGGACACTTGGAATAAATGATCTTAGAGGTCTTTTCCAACCTTAATGATTCTATAATTCTGTGAAAATTATCATTACTGTCATTATACGCATACATACATAAAATTATCATGACTGTTATTTCACTCTTCCTGTTCCATCTTAGTAAATAGACTGTATCTCAACCCACAGGTTTTACTTCTCTTTTTTTCCTTTGATTCTCTCCTCCATCCCATGGGCAGGGGGGCACAAGGAAAAAACTGTTGCATTCAGCTGTATGCCAGCTTAAACCACAGCACTGCTGCTTACTCTCTGCATGGCAGTTTGCCGCAGGAAGGCCTGTGGGTGCTACTTGGGGCAGGAAGAAGCATGAAGTCTGGTCCCAACACCTCCCTTCCGCATCGGCCAGACAGCAATGGGAGGCAAGGCTCTGCCTCCAGACCACATCTCTTTCCTGTGTCTGGCACCTGCAAGTGAGCCTCAGAAAGGAGTTCTGTGTGACTTTTTAAAGTTGCCTGCATCAGGCACGCTTTTCCTTTCTTGGTTTGTCAGCATATTGGGTTGAGGAGATTGGCCAGCTGCCAGCCACCAGGTCTTGACGAACAAAGAGCACAAATCTATGCTTACAGAGAAAAAGCATGTGCTTGGTGTTTCTGGCCAAAGCCTGGGCTGTCAGTGATGAAGCCTAGATCCTTCCCAGCAGCAGTGCTTCTTACTGTAGCCCCAGGCCAGGAGGCAGGAGGGGAAGGAGGCCATTTGCTCCCCTCCCTCCCTTCCTCCTGACTCTCAGCTCCACCTGGAGCAGCCTTCCAGCCCTGAGCGACACATCCAGCTCAGTGCTGAGTCTAGCAATGCTGCTCAGCTCTCTAAGTCTGGGGAGGGGCTTCCTTCTCAAGCTAAAGATCAGAAAGCAGCACTTGGCAGGCAGTTAATGAATATTCTCCTTGTAATGTTGACTCTTATCTGCCTTGTAGCTTTCAGCTGTGCCGATCCTGTCCAAAGCAGTTGTCCTCACCTTTCTGCAACAGCAATGATTCTGCTAGGGCTCACCATCCACCAAAACGTGTTACACTGGATCATGGTTGTGTTTTGCTTCAACAGCTCAACATATATTTAGCAGCACGCTGGGGCTTCTTGCTCTCAGAGAGTCAAGAGCAAGACTCAAACCGCAGTCAGCACATGAATGTTTCTCACCTTCCTTTAAGATTTGTAAAACATCTCATCTTCCTGGTTTGTTGAAGGAACAGAGACAACATCTCTGACTTGCAAAGCGTCTGAGCACAAATCACAGTAAAATAGGATAAAGCACTACAGATGACTTGCTATGCTCCTGCCCTGTATTTGCCCTCTTTCTTGGATGTCTGCACTTGGCTAAGTTATACATTACATATAGGTTATATATATGTTAGAGCAGGTAGATCTCCAGTAGAATTTCACACCTGTTAAACAAATGGATCATTACACTTCTTACTCCTAAAATGTAGTGCCTACCTGCTCTAATGTATTGAGATCTTACATAGAGGAAATCCTAGAAGGCAGATGGAGATGCTCAAGTAAAAAGGGTGTGGACAAATAAGGCAAACTGGATGTGAAATCCCACTTTCATGAGGTGTGGTGAGAAAGCAGCAGATGTATCTTGCTGCATGCCCACTCAATGGGACAACAAAACTGTATTAGACGCTGCCTACTCTTCTTTCACTCTGTCTTTGATCCACTGCACCTTGCATTTCTCCTGGCTGGCAGCC